CTTTTTTTTTTTTTTTTTTTTTTTGAGATTTTGTTCGGTGTGAATAAAATTTTCTCTTCAGTTTTAGTTCTGAAATAAAATAACATATAGAACTCGTTTACGTTTGATTTATCACTCATCTGATTATTATTTTTTGACCTTAAAACGATGTTAAATATCAGCAAATATCCATGAATAAAAATTCAATTACGTTTGAGTTATCACTAATCTGATTATTCTTTAAACGAGGATAATATCCATCTCCAAAAATCGGCTAGTTAATTTTCATTCAAATTCTTAACCTATGATATATATATATATATATATATTATCTTCAAACCATAAGATTAAGCACATAAGCCGTAACAAGAAAAATATATTAAACAGAGACCCCTTTATTTAAAAAAAAACAATATATATATATATATATATATATATATATATATTAAAAGGCGGATTGAAATAAAACAATATAGAAAAGGCAAAAAAATGAATAAATTATGGAAAATCTATGGAGTCCTGAATTGTAAATTTGAGAAAGAAACGAGTCCTTGGACGCAAAACTCGGAAACGAACAGGCTGTGTTCTTGTTGTGTGATGCCTATTTAAAAATGTTTTCCAAATTCCCAAAAGGATATATATGTGTATATGTATATGTATATGTATATAATATAAGCCAAGTTGATGGGAAACTGAGTCAGCTCTACGTGTCTTATATTATCTCGAAATGGGTGTGTTTGGACAACCATGACGCAGCATCTACTCGGTCTGACCATTTATTTCATATCTTATTAATATCACTTTCCCTTTTTCTGCTGCAAAAAATCTAATTTTGACCTTCTTGAATTATAACCACATGTTATGTTATCATTCCATATATATATATATCATGTTAATTAGGCGTACCATTTCAATTCTATTGACGAAATCAGAAAGAAATATTAGCTCTATCTGTTATAGGGTAGTAATTTTAGTGGAAACATCCAAAGGGACATTATCAAAAATACCCTTAAAATGCTACTTCTACTTCAAGACCTACCCTGGTCACATGTGACCAATGTGACCGAAATATAGTATGGTCACATTTTGATTTTTATCGATTATAACGTTAAATTTATGGTGATCACACTAATTCATTATGTTTATACCTTGTATATCTTACTAATCATTTGATTAAAACATCATAAATTTAATGTTATGAACAATGAGATCAATATGTGACCACACTATATTTCGGTCACATTGATCACATGGTCACAAGGGTAGGTGTTGAAGTAGAAGTAACATTTTAAGGGTATTTTTGATATAATGCCGTTTGAAAATGGGAATTGGGCGTGTGCCTAACTTCACGCAAATACACAAATATAGGAAGATATATTACAATATGTCCAAATCATACCCTTTAATAGCAATTTATTATTTCATGATGGAAAAATGAAATATCTATATATATATATATGGTTGTGAAATAGCTCTCACAATCTATTTATTTTTTGTTGATAAATTATTGTGCCTTTAATATTTATTATTTGGTTTATATGGGCTATCTCACGTGTGTTATAAAGCAAATCTAGGGTGGTATAAATAAAATACATAGAGAATATTTATGCATTATATAATCCCAAAAATGTAAAATAAAATGTAATATATCCGGCTATAAAAACATTAAAAAAAAATGGATCGTAGAGTTTCTCGACTGTGTATCTAATTTATGAACACATCAAATACATAGTTTATGGATCCATGAGGATAGATAGATTATCAGAATCTTCTTTGGATATTCAAATATTATTCGCTACGGCTCTTTACTATGTGTGAATTCGAATATCATGGATATTTGTTAACATGTCAGTCCAAAAATTTGTAATGTGTTTCTCGTTTTATAATATTTGTCGGTGAAATCTATAAATGCGTGCATATAAAATGTGGTTAGAGATAACTATTCGGATTAGATCGATTATTTCGGTTTTAGTTATTTTCGTTTCAAAGAAAGTATAACCATTCGGTTTTTATATATTAAATTCGGTTTGTTTCGATTCGGGTTCAATTTGGTTATGATAAAAAAAAACATCATTTAAAAAGAAATTACAGATTTTTCGGTTATTTTTTATTTGATTCGGTTTAGATAGGAATCTAGTTTTATGAAGAGGAAAAAAGAAAATCATTTTTTTCAAATTTAAGCATGGAGATTATGGTATTAATTATATTGATGGGAATATCATTCGAGTGCGAGAAGATGAGAGATCATAGGATGAAATCATTAATTAGCCACTTGGAGTTTATTTAAATGTGCTTTTGCTTGCCTTAATGACAATTATCTGGCAACCAACGAACGAACCATCGCCATCCAAGTTGTCTCGCTCTTTATTTATTGTTATTATAAATTTGAATTCCTACATTTTATTTGTATTATATCAATTATTTATTTTATTATACTGTATATGACTATACATACCATACCCCATTTAAATTTAAATTTCATGGCATATTGTTAGTCCAAATTGGTGGCTGTTCCTTTCTTCAATTAAAATATTCCATATCCCGACAAAACAAAATATCTCAATAGCATATATATATATATATATATATAATTTATTAATCAAATGTACTTTATATTATATAGTCTTGGTCGTAATTGATGATGCCAAGTTTTGGTATTATTCGAGACTTTTTAAGAACCTTACGTAATATTCCAACTCAGACAAGTTAAACACATCACCTTAAACAGAATTTATAATTCCTACAGCGTACACATACAAAGAGAAAAACGACAGAGGGTTTCGGTTTGGAACCGGTTTAGGGCAAAACCAAATCATAATTCGAGCTATTGAACCAAATCAAATCAGAAGGGAACGCAGCGATTTAGTAGTGTATATTGATATATATTTTTCAACCTCTAATCATAAAATCAAAGAAATTATTGATATTTTTCAAATTATGGTATTTATACACCAATTTAAATGTGGTGTGTGGATATGAGAGAGCAATGACGCAGCTTCAAATGGCTTGGACTTGGGAGGGCGTTACGGTTAATGGGCCTGAGTTTTGGGCCTTGCTTCTTGATTATGGTACCTCGTTGCTTTAATATGGGCCGTGTCATAATTGGTGAACTTAATAGTGATATATATTTTGATGTTGATAATTTCTCTTCATATTTGGACTTGATCATTATATGTATGATTGCGTGTATACACTTAAAAAAAAAAATTATTAAAATAAGAGCATGTAAATAATTGCCCTTCATGGATATTGGATTGAATAATTTTTTTTAAGAAAAAGAAAACATATAATAATAATTTCTAGGTTTGTGTTATGGATAAGTAAATCTTCTTTTACGGATTTCGTTCGAATCTTGACAAAGAAGACAGCTTTTAAGGAACCGAACCAACAACGACCCACGTTACGGTTTTATCTCATTTTTAAGCAAAGTCTTGACCTTTTTCATTTACTTATAATTATTGTTTGCTCTCATAAGTTGATCTTATTGAAACCAAACCTTATCGTTTTATGCCAACTTGTATTAAATTCCAATTAACCTAACTTTGGACCGGCACGAGCATTTTTGTAATCTTTTCGCCAATGGGTTTCTTTTTTTTTAATTTAAATTTTTGTGTGTGACATTGACATAGATATAGATGTATAGGTTTCTAATCGCTTTAGTATAATTTAATTTTTCTACGGAGATTAAGCCTGGCATAGTTAGCACGTAGTATAGCCTACCATGTAAATCCCGGAAACAACGGAAAGTATTTATTATATATTTATGCAGCTATATTTATTTGCAAAAAAAAGAAATTGTTTATTATTGTTACTGTTACATATTTATCTATTAGGGTTTAAAAAATTGATATAGATATGAATATGACAGTGCGAATAGGCTTCCTAAATCAGTCGATATACTAAAGATATCTCAAAGTAATAAACTCTCATTAGTAAATGTAAATTATTTGGAAAGAAAAGGCGAATTCGACATGAAAAAGAAAACCATAAATACATATATTAATTAGATTACGTATATACATAGTTAAAGAATAATTTTTTTTCTTTTCATTGGGAATAATATTTTTTTTAAATGAACTGTTAATTTAAAGAATAAAAACTTGAAAACAACGTTTTGTTTTTTTATATGGGAATGTGACTCCATCACTCTTCAGCCTTTTTTTTTCTCTCGTATCTCGTTACCAATAATTTTTGTCCACTCATTAATATGTTTACTTAATTATGCATTCGCATTCATTATTTCATCTTTTTTTCTATTTTATTTAATTTTTGGCTGGTCCATCATCAGCAGACACTAATAATTCACTTTGTCAAATCAATTTTGTCACGATGAATCAAGGTCTTCCCTC